AGCCACACCACAATGGCTCCTCCACACCTGCACCGGCCACGCCACACCACCACAGTGGACGAGTGGCCCCGGAAGAGAAGAGAGAAAACGGCGGATGGGACCAGACCCGTATATATCTTTTTCCGTGTACCACTACATCCAGACTCACAACACCTGTTTGTATTTACTTATCAAGGACAGCAATACACATATGCAAGTCTACCACAGGGCTTTGTAGAAAGCCCATCAGATTTTACCAGTGCTGGCTCAAGATCTGCAACACTTCCAAGTACTGTGATCCAGTATGTGGGTGATTTGTAGTCCCACCAAACAACAGTGTAAAAAAGACTCAATTGCAGTGCTAATAGTGCTAGCAAAAGGAGGACATAAAGTAATCAAAGATAACGTTAAAGATGCTAGGGATAAAGCAGAAGTTTGGGTGTGTGTACCATCCTCAGTCACAGGGAGAAGTAGAACAAGCTAATGGCACTTTAAAAGCAAAGTTGGCTGCCATCCCAGAACAGCAGCAGAGGATATGTCCGGGAGAGTGGGTATACATTAAGGGGTTCAAGAGAAAGTGGGACCAACCCTGGCTTGACGGCCCCTTTAAGGTCATCTAAGCAACCCCAACAGCCTTAAAAGTTGAAGATGAGTCATGGCAGAAGGCCCAGGATTCAGTTAGAAAAGCAACCAACTGCCTCAGCATATGCAGTTCTAGTCCAAGGACCCACTACAGCAACCTTTCTGCCATTGACACCATCTCCACCAAAGACTTCAATACTGCACCAGTTGCTCCAAGGCGAGATGCCAGTTCAACAGCCAGAACCACCACTTCCAGCCAGAAGAGGAGTCCTACTCTCCAACTGCCCCTGATTCCAGTCATATGACTCCATGGCCATGGGCATCACTGATTGATTTTGACCAAGAGCTTCAATCACCTGAGGAACCACTCCCACAACCTTTCACCAGCACTGCTGTTGAAGATCACACTGCCAATGCTACTGCACCCAAGGAAGTTGGAGACCCAAACAAAGTGGTTGACATGATGCCACAGGAGTTCTGATACATGTTAGCAGATTGCCCACAAGAAGAAACTCAGGCACTGTGCCGTATGAGAAGCAAGGCACTGAAGCACCCTTCTACCAAACGTTACCTGATCCATAAGTACGATGTTTGATTAGCACTATGTTTGAACTAAGAGTATACACACAAAACATTATGCATGTTTTGAATTTGCACTGGCTGTTCAATTCATATTCACTTTGGATCCAGAATAACTGTTTGTTGTGATGTATCAGTACACTAACGTGTAGTACACTGCGTACACAGTACCCTCATGTAGTACACTATGTACACATTATACTTTCATGTAGTACAGTACAATTCCTCTTCTGCCTCTTTCTAAAACACATTAGCAATCAGAAAGCAGCATATATACACTGTGAGGTCACTTTATCATGTACATCTGTTCACCTGTTTGTTGATGCAAATATTTCATCAGCCAATCACATGGCAGCAGCTCAGTAAACATCAACATGGGGAGCAGACGTGGTCTAAGTGACTCTGACTGTGGGGCGATTGTTGGTGGTTTGAGAGACTGATCTCCAGGAAACCATCCAGCTTTGTGGTAAAACACCTTATTAATGAGAAAGGTCAGAGGAGGATTGACTGGTTCAGGCTGACAGGAAGCAGACGGTCACTTCAATAGTGGATGGACTCCAGCAGGTTCCACCCCATCAGCAGGAACAGGCTCAGGCTCACCAACATTGTAGAAGTAGAAGATGAAAGGACATCTCATGATAGAACAAGTCTGGATTTCTGCTGCCACATACAGATGATTAGAAATGAAAGAGCATGAATCCAGATTCATCCTGGCGTCAAAGGTTCATATTGATCATGTCCACTGGCTTTCAATTATGATTATTATTATTATTATTATTCCTCTGTGCCGGTGACAGCCAGAGCCATATTGGGTTGTCCGTCCATCAGTCTGTATGTCTGTCCCATTCTCATGGAGATATCTCAGTAACGCCTTTACGGAATTTCTTCAAATTTGGTACGAACTTTCACTTGGAATCAAGGATGAAGTAATTAGATTTTGCTGTCTGAGGTCAAAGGTCATGGTCAGTGTGACCTCACAAAACACCTTTTAGCCATTACTAAAGACTTCACATAGTAATTATGACAAAACTTCACACAACTGGTTCATATTGTATGAGTCTGGATAAACAGGGATGTATCCTGAAACTAGTCTGAGTGGCGGAGGGATACAACCATGAGGAGGTGATTCTAGTTTCTCTTTCATGCACTTTGGACGAAGTTCACTGAGAAATAAAACTATTCATGACATTATCACTTCACTTTTAGTGTCTAAACCTTTTGCACAATGCCATAGTTACTATTGTTAGAACCCTCCAGTTTAAAAGTGTTGAAACAAACACATTCAGTAGATAAAGGAAGCTCCTAATCAGCTGCTTCTGACGGGGCTGTGGGGCTGGATCAGACAGAAACGGTTACTGTTATGTAACGTAAAACAACATCATAAACCGAATTCACACTCTTCTTTATTCTTAGTGGTTTATTACACTCTAACAGTAAAAAAGTTCAAATCCAGAGCATTTTAAAGGGTGAACACATTTACATACAAACTGATAATGATAAAATAAAAATAAAAAATAAGAAAAACAAAGCAATTCAACAAATATCATCAAAACACCTTCAAGAAAAAGTGATGACGGCAACGCATTTCTGTGTGACGTCAAACTGTTGTGGATTGTTTTTAAATATAAAGCTGAACAATGTAAAAAAAAAAAAAAAAAAGTTGCAGTGTTCTCTTTAATGTGCTAAAAACTCCAACAATATCCAGACTGAAAAATATAATACAAAAGGCAAAATAACAACTTGGCATGACATGATCTGAGCTGAAGATAAAACACATGTGTCTTTATTATGTGTTGTGCAAAACAGAAGAGAGCTAAAGGAAGACAGTCCTCCATGTCTCTGTTAACACTGTGAAGTCGAGTCAAACCCACATCAATGTTTCACATTTGTGTAAAAGTACAGATTTTTTAGCAGCACCTTCTTTCCTCCTGTTACCTGCTCCATGACAACACTGAAATGTTTTCTTTCATCAGAAAAGGTAATAATGTTCAGATTATTAACTATTTTAAAACATGTCATCTGAACTTTTCTGCTGTCTGGGTGGTTCTCATCTCATCCATGTACCCCGACTCAGTCCACTGACAGGGGGCATCCCGGGTGGAAGCGGAGGGGGGAGCTGATTGTGTCCGACGGTTGATGGTGGCAGGTACCCACTACTCAAATTAGGTGTCATCCCCATGACTGAGGGTGGCGGAGGTGCAAGCAGGTAGCTGTAGGCTGAGACTGGGGGGGTGTGGTAGGACGTGGTGCCCGGGGGGTGCTGGTGGTAGCCCAGCGGTGGGGCACAGGCCTGGGGTACAGTGGTATAACAGGAGCCCTCTGTCTTCATCATGGACTGCAGCTTCTGGTAGCCGTCACTAGACACCAGGGAGCTGGAGCCGGGTAGGTCCATGGGTGGAGGAGGTGGCGGGGGAGGGCAGTGGGGTAAAGGTGGGGGGGCTGGATTAGTGGGGAGATCTGGGGCTGGTGGGTAGGAGGAGAAAGGCTGATGATCTGTGAGAGAAAAGAGAGATGCAGTGAAAAAAACAGACACAAATGATCTGAGACCAACAGCTGTCATCTTAAAATACAATAAAACACACAAACACACACACACACACACACGTGCGCCTGGCTAATATGAGGAGATCAGTTCTTGTTGTTCTTGTTAAAACACATCCATGAGCCACTGTTGCTCTGGGTGACATGTTCCATCATCCTGTAGAATATGGGCACTGTGTTCATTCAGAAACAGCTCCACACACTGATAACAGCCTGTCACTGTCACAGCCTCTGGAGAAGAGCTCATGTATGCCAGAGGCCACTGAGCATGCTCAGAAGGAGGTTCTGTTTACACTGCTTCGTTAGCTTGTTGTGCTACATATCACAGCCTCCTGACTTTGGAGTAAAGTTGTCTGACACTGATTCTGGTCAATACGATGACTATGAACGTGTGTCTGACGCACAATAAAATACGGTCTAATGTGATGGATTCAGAGTTGTCCCTGTGTGAGGAGTGTGAGGGGTCCGTGTGGATCTGAGCCCCCAAACAGAACCACAGGAGGCTGGTGGTGCAGCTGTGGTCAGTGCTCAGCAGCACTGAGGCAGAATGTTGATACTGCAGGAGTTGCATGACAGGAGTATGAATGTTGATTTGTCACGCACCACCTGGACCTGTCAGCACACATGAAGCCCAGACGTTGCCCAGACATTAAACGTTGCTACCCATGCTAGTCGGCACCTGAAGTACTAGTCATTAATATTTTATTAATGTACAATGCCAATTAACTGCTGTTAACTGGTATTGTACATTAACACTAGAACCGCCAAGACGGTCTGACGGACCGTTTGAGTTTTTATTATGTAAATAACTTTGTTTAATTAAAAACTACAGGTCTCTGAGTCCATGACTTTTCATAAATATATGTTTTTGATGGTTTCTGAAGCCTAGAAGGTATTAAAATAAAAAAGACAAGATTATTGAGCATTTATTCCTCAAACCGCCAAAGCGGTCATATAGACAGCTGTGGCCAGCTGTGGCCATAGAAATTATAACAATGTTTCCATTTTGCACTTTTCGCGCATCTATTTTTATTCACTGTCTATTTTTTTCATTTAACATTAAGCCTACATTTGTATATGCAGATCTGGAGAGAGAGCAAGAGGGAGAGAGAGAGCGAACAAGCGAGAGAGAAAAAGCGAGTGAGTGAGAAGTCGCCACGCACCAGATTTATCCTACCAGCAAATACTGACATAAAATGGAAAGAAATGGAGAGAGGAAAAATAAGACAAATATTCGATGTTCAAGAGGCTTTGTCAGTTTCTGAGGACCTGAGCGAGGGGGAAGCTGATGGTTTAGTGATGAGGAAAGTCACTGTCATCTGGCACATCTGTCAGCATGTCCACTCATGACGCAGCCACTTCGCAAACTTTATTTCCTGAGTAGAAACTAGACCTTGATTTCGTAAATAGTCGGCCTGTAGGCCATAAACAGTAAGCAACATCTAAAACCACCCTCATTTATAATGAATAAAGAAATATAATGCAGCCTAATAAATCTCAACTGTCTAGTCCAGTACACACGGTCCACCGGTCTCTGTGAGAGCTAGTAGGCTAGGTCAGATCCAGGTGGAACAAGTGTAAAAACAAAAAAAACTCTGGTTGTTGATAATAAACAATAACATAAAATAACAATCCAATAAACCTCAGAGCGAACAGCGACAGCGGCTCTTGACATGAGAGCGAAACACCGTCTCCAGGTGCAGGTGTGTGCCATAGGTGTGTCAAGCGGTGCTGCATGATCACTGTTAGTCAATCATTCTCTAACGTAATCCTGTGGCCTCTGGCTTACAGGAGAAATTTACATGATATATTTTGATTATTGTGGACAATAATCAAAATATATAGAATGGCTGGGCTTGTCCTTTAAGGCAGTGTTTTAAGAGTGTGAGGCCGGCTGATGGAGTTCAGGGCAGAGGACACTGACCAGGGTTTATGGAGACTGGTGGAGGCGGTGGGGGTGGAGGAGGTGGTGGAGGAGGCTCTAGATTCGGGATCTCTGGAGAACAAAAATACAAGACAGAGAAAAACAATGAAAAACTGATAGTATATGGATGAATGAACTTAAAGTGCAGTGTCCTCCAGTCCTCCAGACAGGATTTGTTCTTACTTGTGGCTTTGCTGTCGTCCTTGGGAGAGGGCTAGAAAAAAAAAGAAAATATCAGTCAGTGTCAGTCAATGCTTGGCTGAAGGCACAGAAATTAGATCAAACACACTCTAACACTGTAAGTTCACGGACCTGAGCTGGTCTAGGTGGTCTGGGGCTGGTCTGAGGTGAGGCCTTCTTGGCTGGTGGAAGGGCTGAGGAGGACAGGATGGAAGGTGGTGGGAGGTTGTCCCCTGTTCCCATCCCTCCGTCAGGCATCTGCTGCTTCGCCTGAGAATACAAGTCCAGGATCTGGTGGCAGATATCTTAGAGACGGAGAAGAGCAGGAGCGGAAACAGGAGAAACCTTACTGAAGATTATAAACCAATTATACTATAAATAAATAAATAAATATTCAGAGAGTATTTCCATTACCCTCCAGCACCTCCACAGGTACATCATAGACAAACTGCTCCCACCAGCGCCGGGACGACTGTTTGGAGGTCCAGTCCTGGATGTCGAACTTACAGAGACGTCCAGCTAGATACATGACAGCCACCGCAATGATCTGAGGCTCCCACTGCAGGGCCACCATGGTGCAAAGGCTTTGGAATGAACACAATGGTGTTATTATTACCTAGTACACATCTGTCAACCTGCTAACATCTGGCATATATTACATTCCACAGCCTTCGCAAGAGACATGCAAGAGGTGCTGTTATCTTCTCCTGATGCCCTGTTATCATTTATCATTTTAATGTTTTAGTGGAGGGTTTTTTTTGTGTGGTGTAAAATGCTTTTCCATTGTGACAATAATAAAAGTATGAATGAGGGATGAACAGTGAACAAATTACAGAAGCCCTGAAAGGAAAGTCATTTTTTTTTTTTTTGCCAGGATAATTTTTTTTTCTTCATCTTTTAGCTCCTGTCCATGGGAGCAGTGTGTCCTTAAGACATTCTAGAGGAAAGATCAGAAATAAAAACTGAAAAGAACAGTTAACTAAGTCAGCATATAATAAATAAACCAACAGAGACTCAAACCCCATTTTCCCAGATGAAACTCTTCCACCTTATCACAGCTGCAAGTTTGTTTCTTGTTATACTCTCTCACCTGACTCCCTAAAGTGTTTCTGGCAGAAAACCTGCACTAATTAAAATACATTTATAGCCAAAAGACAGAACAGTAATGTTACATAACTTGCTACCAGACACTACATCAACCTTGTGTGAGCAAGGAGAAATTAAAAATCCCACAGAGTGAAACATGGAGGCTTTTAGTCAGATTTAGACTGGGGTAGTGGTGCACTTCACCCTCTTGTGGCCAAAATCAGTATTACAAAAGCAAACACTGACAAAAAAAAGAAAAAAAAAAAAAAAAATTCTTTGAAGAAGAAGAAAAAAAAAAAAAAAGAATAGTGAATTTTTTTTTCAGGGTTTCTGTAATAAATTACCAACTTTTTAAACATGAAAAAGGTGAAGAGTACTGAACATGGAAATAAAATGCTATCAATGTGGTCGACCTTAAAATTCCCATTTCAGTCAGGAATAGTGGTTCCTGAGCTCACCTGTCATTCACAAAGGTCCAGGCCATCTGAACGAGCTTCTGCACCTTGTTCTTGTCGCCTGAAAAACACCAGCTACACTGTCTTTAGTCTGAAGATGGCTTTGTCAGTGTCACTGAGGAGACTATATTCTCTTAGTACAAACACTCCTGACACAGATTTAGATGAACACTGAAGTCTTTCTATCAATACTGCCCCAGATTTACCTTTGAGTTGCTTTGCATAGCGCAGCAGGAACTGGTACGGATGTTCCACCTGCAGGTCGAACTTGATGGTCTGCAGCAGGATGCGCTCCAACACCATCACCTCCTCCTGTAACGAACACGAGTCTTCTATGAACAAATGGTGACAGACGCCATGATAACCCTCTCCAAGCTTTAAAAGCCAAAGTATCCTGGCTGCCTGTCAAAAGTCTAAGGTTAGAAGTGTACGGTGGCCCTGAGGGCTCAACACGCTGCAACTTCAGAAAAGACATGCAGACAAAACAAACAAATTCAGAAAACATCTTCATCAATTTGACAATGTTCAATGCTTTTAATTATATATACATATTGGCAAGTAAAATGTTCAGTTTGAAAGACATCTGTTTTGGTCATTGCTCCAAGCTTCCACTTCACAACACTTCATGTTCGGGAATGTATCTGAAAACCCAGAGGACAGTTAAGGTGCACATACTCTGGGGGTATGAAGCAATTCAAAAAAACCACAAACTTGCTAGTACTTTTAATTGCAGATTCATTCGTCCTGTTCCTACACACCTACCTCACTAAATACTTGTTCAAAGTATTTTTCTTTTTTGAGGCAAGTATTAACCAAAATCTGAAGTGCCATAATAATTGGTGAAAGTGGGTGTGGCCTATCATATAATTGCTCATAACTCAAGATGCCTTTGATCAAATCCTGACTAAACTCACTCGACACATCCTGTGCCAACTCCTCAATACAAACACAGAGTGTCCTTCTCATCGGATAAAGGGGGGACAAATGGTGGAACTTTGAGTCCACAGTTATGGAAATGCTGCAGGCTCTGTGATGATGAACCTCACTCTTTAAATAAAATTAAACTAACTGTTTGTAAGTTTTGCTCGGCTTTGTGAAGCCTGAAAATGCTGCTTCATGCTGTTGTATCACTGCTTGTGGCTACATTTCTAAGTGTTTCTGGTCATTTAATTTCATCTTTCCTAATTTTACCATGCCAGCCGATGATTTCCATAGTCTGATGCAGTACAAATGATGCTATTTTTTGGGGCTTTTTATGCCTTTATGATAGCACAGTAGAGAGAGACAGGAAATGGGGAGGCAGAGAGAGGGGGAATGACATGCAGTAAAGGGCCGTCCGATGCAGGATTCGAGCCGGGGCCGACTGCAGCGAGGACTGTAGCCTCTAGATATGGGGCGCCTGCTCAACCCACTGCGCCAATCAACGCCCCAAATGATGCTATTTTGAGCATAATTTCTTAGTCATTTTTATGTATTAATTAAAATGTATAAAATAAAAATTAAGAAAAGATAAAGCACAGGGGAGAAAAGACCTTCCTCAATCTAATCTTCATTAATCTGTTTCAATGTGCCAGGATGTCACTCTTATTATATTAATAGCATGTAAATTTCTTCTACTTTTAGCAGAAAGGCTGACAATGAATTTCTGCATTCTGCTGAACGTTTTTAGAGCTTCTGTCTCTGCCTGTCAATTTCCCATCGTAGAAGCATTTTCAACAACACATCATATCCTGATGAAAGGATTCCTCGTCACAGACCTTGGGATCATCTCCGAACTGTGCAAACTGCGTGTCGTTGAGCAGGCTGCGAGCCGTTTTGATGATGTCTTTGCACTTCTTTGGAGTTTCCTCCACTTTGCCTGCGAGGAAGAGGCAGCACCCTCCTGTCACCTGCAGACACAGGCACCAGGTCAGGAACAAAATCTCTCTCAAACTGTACAGGAACTGTACATGAAATTTCACAGCCCGTTTGAGTTACATATAGACAATGCTGAGCGGGGCGTAACAACATGAAACAGATGAGAGAAGTCATTTGAGGTGGTGGTGGTGTCCTGGACTCACTATGACTCACAAAGTAACTGCTGTGCTCATTTATAAACGTTTGCACTAGTTGCTACTGCAGCAAGTCACTGCTCTGTTAGGTTTTCATCATGAGTGTCTACTACTACTAAAGTCAAAGGCTGGGGAAAACTGTTGCTGCCTGGTTTAAAACACTGACCCACTGAATGCACATCAGGAGCATCAGTGCCACCATCTTAAAGGTCCCATATCCATCCAGTGTTGATCCATAAGAAGATATATTTGTGGTTTTAAGAACCAAAAACCATCTCAATGTAGTTCTACATCTCCTCTCTCAGGCTTCTCTCTGGAGCTCTAGAAACAACAGGTCAGTGAGCCAATCAGAAGAGAGGAGGCTCTGAGCCTCTCTTCTGATTGGCTGACTGTTTTCTGAATGATCCAATAAAAATATAGCAGATTTCAGGTAAACACCCAGACAAGCCAAATCCTGCCAGGTTGGATGGTGGGTCCAGGTGGATGGGGCTTGGGTCGTGGCTCAGGCTATGTCCACACTTCTACAACAGCATTTTAAAATCAAAACTAACAGTAAACTTCACTGGGTATATACATACACTGCAGCCTTTATAAATTGACTTGACCTGAGCATGTCCACTGCATTATTGCTTCTTAATAAAAGTATTCATACAAGCGCATCCGAGAATATATGTGCCGATACAATATATCTGCGATAGGCCAATATCGGCCGATAAAATCGGCCAACCAATAAATTGGTCGGGCTTTGATTAAAACGATGTCCATTCATATTAACACACCTGAAAACACATTCATACATGACCATTGATGTGCACTGTGCATGTGTGAACCAGTGTAAACAGGAAGCAGACTGTCTACTCTGCAGTTGATCGGACACACAAAATACTCTGAACGAGGAACAGCAAAGACAGTTGTAGCAGAACCGTAAAATACAGACTGTAAGTGAACAACTGCTGCTGACAAAGACAACAAGGTCAGTAACACTGTAATTCATTATCATGTTGTATTCACAACTGGGAGTCGAGACTGATGAGAGCCAATCAGGGAGCGAGGTGGGTGTTTCCAAAGGTCTCAGTTTCTGTCCATCCAGACTACAAAACAACCCCAGAGTTTTCAAAATAAAACACAACCCAAGCATCATGCAAGAGATGTTTTAAAGAACTGCCTGTTTCATCATTTCACTGGATAGAGAACTTTATACTTACATATCTGGGGAACTGCTTGAAGGAGTGGAACATGTAGAAGCGGTGGAAATAGACGATCCCAGTTGCCAGTGTGTCATAGTGCCTAAAGCCACAGAGGGTTAAGAAGACTGACAGCAAAGTTTTCACACTGCAGACAGTAGTTATTAATCAGCTCAATCTGTACCCACCCGACATCACACTCAAGTTACAGTAATTCATCTTCACTCAACACCCTCACCTCACTGTACACAATGTTAGTCCTTGTCTTTACTTGTGCTGCTATGCTCTAACTTCACTACATGTGACTGCTCACATTCTGCCAAATAAACATGGGTTGGCTTTGTGTCTCCCTCTGGGTGTTTTGAAGGCCACACAGAGCAGCTCACAGCCTGCAGCGGAACACAAGCCAATCACATGAACCACCCCAGCGAAGGTGGGTTTCATTGACCAGGTCTCTGTTTGTTAAGCAGACGGTGGGCGTGGCTCTAGGGATGCAGCCAGAATCCGTCACACAGGTATTGTAAGGTAATATAGCCATTGTGTTTTCCACAGAAGGATACAGCCCGAGCCGTGTGCCCACATCAAAGATGAACCGGGCCCCCTCTCTGCGGTACCGGGCCTCGGTGGCAGGGTCCAGTCCCTCTGACTGGGAAGGAGTGTGGGCCAAGTCCTTCTTGTCCCAGTACCAGCATGGTTTGATGTGGTCCAGGATGGCCGGGTCCTTCCTGTCCCAGTGTAAGTGGGGTCTGATGAGGTCCAGGGTGGACAGGTCCCTCTTGTCCCGCCAGCAGCAGGACTTGAGACTGGGAGTGGATGTTGTTGATGAGGAGTGATGAAGGAAGCAGCATTTAACCTGCTAACAGCTGCTCCAGGCACACATGCTGCTAGCTAATGTCACAGACGAACATAAGACCTCAAGCTGACCTCTGTCGCTTTCACACAGTAACGACAGACAAACGTCGACGAGAGAAACTCCACTGATGTGTAGAGAAGTAAATATCCTGACTGCTGAGGGAGCAGACACCTTCCGCACCTGGCTTCTTTTCCACAGCGGTCTTCTTGGAAATTTTCCGGCCCACCTTAAAAGTGGCATAACGCCTGTAGAAGGCGTTGTTCAGTCTTCTTCTTCTTCTTCTTCTTCTTCTTTCTTCTTCTTCTTCTTCTTCTTCTTCTTCTTCTTCTTCTTCTTCTTCTTCTTTTTTTTCTCAATACAAGTTTATTGAGACATACAGAACAATACAAAAGAATAGTGCAATGATAATCTCCAGGGGGTTACAAACATATAAAGGAAATAGAATATTACAAAGGTATTACAAAAATATATCAAAGAGAGCACACATGGAAATAGTTTTAATAGCTTTCTCATTAGTGGAGTAAATAATGTTTTTTATATATTGTTTGACCTCATTGTTAAAAATAGAAAAGAGTGGTTTTTGGGCAGTGTATCTGCATTTATGGATATGCCATTTTGCCAAATATATGATCAGATTAATTACATAAAAATGTCCTTTTTTTGTTGGTGGATAGTCAATGAAGCCAAACAATACATGTTCAAAGCAAAAGGAAAAGTGTGGTAAAATGCAAGTAGAAATTAAATCACAAATATCCATCCATAAATTGGTGGAAAAGGAGCAAGACCAGAATAAATGAAAAATATCTTCAGGATGTCCTTCACAAAAAGAGCAATTAACATCAATATCTCTTTTGAATTGTTGTAGAAAAATTTTTGTTGGGTAAAATCTATGAATCAATTTAAAGGATACTTCTTTTACTTTATTGTTTATCAAAAATTTAGCTGACAAATTCCAAATTTTTTTCCAATTAAGGTTATTAATAAAGGAGTTCCAATAAGATACCACATAAGGAATTGATACGACATCCTTTTGAAATAAAGAACGTATACGATGATTATTATTTCGTGTTGATGAGAAACAAATTTGACCAATTTCAAGTTTGGATGGATCAGTCGGTATTAAAGTTGGATTGTGTCCTGCTCTATTTTTTAATAACATAATTACTCCATCAGGGATTGCATTTATAACAGTATTAAATTCATTAATAGGGATTAAGATACTATATTTCGAAATAAATTCTTCATATGACATTAGTGATCCATCTTGATTAAACAACTGACGAACTAGCAGTATGCCGTGAGAAAACCAAAAGGGGTAAAATAAAGATTTTTTTCTGTATACGATGTCTTTATTGTTCCATATGTAGTATCTGTGTGGGGAAAAGTTATATTTGTAAATCAAAGACCAGGAAAGAAGCATCTGTTTATGAAAGTAAGATAAATTTGAGGGGATTTTTTCAACATCGTAATTACATAGCAAAAAGAAATTTAAGCCTCCTAATTTAGAAAAAATGAAATTTGGTATGAAGTTCCATATTGAAAAAGGGTTTTTAATGAATTGTTTTAACCAATTTATTTTGAAAGTATTATTTAAAGTATAAAAGTCCAGAAAGTTGAGGCCACCCTTATCATATGAGTTCATAATTACCGATTTTTTAATATAGTGGGTTTTGTTTCTCCATATAAAATTAAACAACATCTTGTCAATATCTTTTGAGACCCTTTTGTTAACATCAAGAGACAAAGCAGCATATGTAAGACTTGATATTCCTTCAGCTTTGGTTAGTAAAATTCTACCTTTCAATGACAAATCTCTCTGCCATTGGTTCAATTTCTTCTGGGTTTTGTCAATTATCAAGTCAAAACTCAAATTGCATCTGGTTTCTCTATCTTTAGAGATGATTGAGAAGAAGAGGATTTCCCTTTTTCTCTTAATATTCACTCTGAGAACCTCTTTGACAAAATAAAAGAAGCTAAGAGCTCCTCATGTTTTATATAACTAGTTACATTTATTCGCATATCGTATAAAAACACTCAAACTGATCTCCGAAACATGATTACAGACAGGATAACATGGTAAACATCTATAAATCTGCTCGGTCAATGGGCAAGTGATCATTGTCAGTATATCCAATGGTGCATAGCAAACAGGAACTTCATTTTCCAACATGTAAACAAACATGGTCTAAAAAAACAAAAAAAACAGAAAACAGGGTTCAGGTTGAAGCCCATAGCTTAACTTACTGTATCCATGGCAACATATTTCCTGTTTGTTGGCTTTGTTGTTTCAGCTAAATCAGTTTCTTTTAAAAACATATTGATGTCAGTTTTCTCTAAGAGACCTGACAATGAAAAGTAGTCTGCCTTCCTAGTGAATGAATAAAGGGATTTCTCTAAATGTTGTCCTTCCCACAATGAAGAAGTATGTTTTTGATTGGTCTGGTTGGCTGCGATGTGTGCATTTTCCAGCTGGGTATTCTGTATAATGTATGGTTGAGTATTGGATTACCAAGTCTAAGATTTTTTATATATATATATTTTTTAATATATTTTTATATATATTTTTTATATTTATATAATTGGAAAATTTACAAACAATCAGACACATCAATACTTAAATTGATACTTAATAACATTCAAAATTTGACAAAAAAAGAAGACAAATAACTAGAAAATGAACAAATACATATTTTTTTCTAAAATTGATAAATTTATAATTTTAGTGACAGACTTCTTCAGACAAGAATTTCAGAATACCCTACATATTAACTGCTGACATGGACTTCTTTTTTTTTTTTTTACAAATTTGAGACAGTCAAAGTAACATTCAAGATCAGTTAGAAACAACTTAAATGAGGGACTTGATTTAAGAAATTCCGGCTTATGAATATGAAATTTTCTTAGTAAAATCAGGAGTCGTACTCTCAGAAATTCAGGTTAGCGATTCACACAAATTGATGTCATAACAGCTAAGCGTGATTGGGCCAGTAATATTACAGACCCTATTGAATTACTTGTACAAGTCATTTACTATTGTATGTGATACATTTACATTCTTAATATATTTGGGAAGTTGCCAGTGTTAGTTTTTGCAAAGATTTCTGAAATAATTGATATTACTCCACTAATCTACATGAGCTTCATTGATAATTTGATTATTTTATAGGTGTGATGTTGATTCCTTATCAATTAATTTATAATGTTTATTAAAAGTTACTTTATTCTGTAAGGATTTATTGAAAATCTAAATGATGATGTTGAAAACATTTAGAAACGTGGGAAATATTTATTGAGGTGTTAGGATACATGTTGTAATGATAGCATACATTTCTGGGGCCAACTATGGCACATACGACTCAGTTCCACATACAACAAGCTGGTTTTAGGTTGAATTTTGGCTTGCTGTGTGTGGGCCAGATTTGACCTGTATGCAAAAAATATGTTTGTGTTTATTATCTGGTTGGTTAGATAGATAGATAGATAGATAGATAGATAGATAGATAGATAGATAGATAGATAGATAGATAGATAGATAGATAGATAGATACTTTATTTATCCCCCAGGGGAAATTCAGGTGTCCAACAGTTCATTAGTAATAATAATAGTTAATAATAAAAAATAAACAATACGAGTTAAATTAATCCAGTTCATGAGCCACTTCCTTTGGCTGAGGTGTTGTATAGCCTGATGGCAGTGGGAACAAAGGATCTCCTGAACCTCTCTGTTCTGCAGCGCAGTGAGATGAGACATTTACTGCACCTGTAGCTGCTTCTCTGTCCTGCCAGAATGTTGTGGAGAGGATGGTTGGTATTGTCCAAGATGGCCTCTATCTTAGACCCAGCCTTTTTGACCAGCTTTTCCAGTCTCCTTGTGTTCATGTCTGACATGCTGCTGGCCCAGCAGACTTGAGCATAAAAGAGTACACTGTCCACCACCGACTGCTAAAACATATGCAGCATTTCACTGCAGACGTCAAAGGACCTGAGCATCCTGAGGAAAAAGAGCCGGCTCTGCTCCTTCCGGTAGATGGCATCTGTGTTCAGGGACCAGTCCAGTTTACTGTCCAGGTGAACACCTAAGTATTTATAAGTGTGCACCACCTAAATGTCCTTCCCTCGAATGTTGACGGGCTGAAGGGTGGGCCTAGACCCCCCAAAGTCCATGACCATCTCCTTGGTCTTGGAGGTGTTCAGAAGGAGGCAGTTCTTGTCGCTCCATTCACTGAAGGCCATTGCATTATACTCAGAAATATGCATCTATATGGACCAACCCCAACATTAGAATAGGTAAACAGACAATTTATTGGGCTCAGTGGTTAAGAAAGGGTATCAGAACAGTGAATTATCTATTTGAAGAGGACAGTTTCTTTTGTTATGACAGAATGAGGGAAAAAATTAATCTGGAGGGGCAGGGCCACTTTTGGAAATATTTACATTTTAGACACTGTATTAAGGGAAAGGTTGTTTTTCTATCAAGATAGAAATCCAGTAGAGTGCTATGTATAGCTACTAACAATGTTTCGTAACGAAATTATTCAATATAAAATACTTCATAGATATTATTACACCCTAAAAAGACTCAATAGAATGGGCATAATTAAAGATGATGTCTGTTGGAAATGTAGGAAAGAACATGGCATACATGCATGTATTTTAGGAATGTACCAAGGTTTCTCCTTTGTGGAGGAACATATTAGATTTTATGGGTATATGTTAATGTATGAATTGGGAGGACGTTTGGAAGATTAAATAGGAAAAAATGATGAAATTAATGAATAATGGGACAGCTCTAGTGTGTTTATATCTAGAGGTAGATGTCAATCAACAGAAAATATGCTAATATACTGCAAAAAAAATCTACGAAATACAAGGACTTGCTGCCATCATTCTTTTGTTTTAGTGTGACTTAGTGTTTTAAGTGTGGTCTGTTTTAATTGTTTGTCCTCTGGTGATTTATGTCATGTTTTTGTTAAATAAAAGTTAAAATAGATAAATAAATAATGCAATTTTGGAAACTTGATATGGTGTTTTCGGAGATGTGAGGACCCAACTACCCGTTGATAACTACTGTTATCTACTCTTCAAGACATTTGTCGTCATCACTGGCTTTGTTATGTGTAGTGTTTTGATTTATGATAAAATTCCATTTGAAAATAATTTGGTCTCTGAGTTGAAATATCAATCTTCATTTCTTGCAGTTAGTCTGAGAAGATGAAGGTGAAGAGTAAGTACTGCCTCTCTGTGGGTTTCTTACAGATATACCACCATTTAATAAATGGAAATAAACAATGCGGTTCACCTTACTTTTTGTTTGATGCATTACAGATTGGATATCAAATGTATTTTTCACTACACTCACTGTCAATTTCATTTTTTTCACCTACAAATCTGTTGGTGGAGATTTGAGTTCAGATTATTTTGTCTGCTTACTGCCCATTGAGAGTTATACAGTGCCAGAAACTCCATCAGTTAGTCAGTGGGTGTGATTGTAAAGGATACATGTCAACATTATTTCAAATAAAATTTGAATCAAGTCAATAAAATCGATCAATATTTTATCACACTTATATTTTTAAATCCAGATACATTTCATCACTTCCATTATTAATTCATAAGTATTTTCATCAGCTCCACTTTATCAGTTATTTTTTGTTACTTCCACCCCACTTTCCTGAAATGATAAATGGCAATTATGTTTTATGAAGGATGAAACAAATGAGTCCAAATCACTTGATCATTTCTGTTTTTCATTTCACATTTATATTTACTGCATTTAAATCACATGTATTTTCATCATCTGAATTTTTCTCAATACATTTTTGTTACTTTCACCCCTCATACTTCCACACTGAACTACAGAAGTGGAGGGTGTAAGGGCTGGATTAGAATTGGGCTGAAACAATCATAGCCTTTGAAGTAAGATACATAGTAAAGTATGAACAATACATATAAATAGAATAAATACAATTAAAGGAAATAAATGCAACATATAAATAAGGATTATGAAACAAAAACAATAAACCAAAGTACATAGGCTCTAACTGGTCAGCTTGAAAATGACTAAACAACGCCCTCTTCAGGCGTTATGCCACTTTTAAGGTGGACCGGAAATTTCCAAGAAGGAGCTCTATGTGAAGAGCAAGGTTCAGCGTCGTCCCCCATGAGCCGCTCCATCCAAACAAAGAGCACCGTAATACGCCGGAGCCATGATCATGACTGACATATCTTTCAGCCAATCACCATAGCTCAAACGTTACCATATATGGTAGCTTTTAGATTTCTAAAAGTAAATGTCCAATGACAGTGTACGGTAGGAGGGGGTGGTACATTTTCTTGTACCAGCAGTTCATGTTCTGTGAGCGTACTGTCCAACAACTAATCAGAATGCCAGAATCCAGTGTTGTTTTCGTGGGCGTGTCTGAAGATTACACCAATCACAGGCAGGACTGAGTCAAGGTTGGTTTGTGTGCAGAAGAGAGGAACTGCTGCTGTCACTGGAAAGGTATGAGTGAACTAGAGAAAAATGTCTACGGCTGGGTTTATGGTTGAGCTCTGACCTGGTCTTCAGTCTTATTCTCTGTCAGTGTGTGTTTGTGGTGTACAGGCTGTTGCACTGTAGTGGATAGGTCTAGCTAACCAGCTAATTAGCCCATTCTATAACTCTTCTACTGAGCCTTTATCACTGGACAGCCTAGCAGCTAATAGCTAGCCCGCTGACGTTAGTCAGTGTAGATGAATGAGCTCCGTGTGTTACCGTGCCCGGCTCTGCTCGGATGGGCGTGAGTCCTCGGTGTTAGAGGCTAGCTGCTGGCCTAGTGGGATAGGTTACAACCACCCGAGGAGCTAATTGGTGCTGGGCTGTCGGCTCTTATGCTACGGTTGAAATTAAGCTTTGACACCACAATACTTATGTCACATAGTGCAAAATGATTTCCGTCATCAGTTTGCTGACATGAGGGACTTGGCAGAGAGGAGCTAAGAGTGGCTCTGAAGACAAACCACCCGGCTAACTGTGTCGTTAGCCTTCCCTCAGGGAAGTAGCCCACTTTTTAAAAAAAAAAGAAGCTTTATAGCAAGCTCAGTTAGTCCTGCTTCAGTTGGGCTGGGACAGGAACACAAAGTTTTGACTGTTGCACTTCATTCGGAGACCCCTTAATTTTTTTTTTTTTCCTTTTTTTTTTTTTGAAGTAATGTTAACTGCACCTAGGTGACTGACACTACAGCTTTCAGGGTGGTGGAGCTGGTTCTGCACCACATTTATAGTTGTCTTCAAACCACATGTTGAAGTGTGTCACTTGTCATTTCCTGGAAGTCATGTAATTTCCATTACCAAGGACCCAGCCATAAAAGGCACATGCAGTTTTACCATACATGATATGTTCCTTACTACATTAAACCTTTCTACATAGTTAGGGTTAGGTTTAATTTTTTTTTTTGTAATTATTGTTAAACAGAGACATAATTATTATTCAACAGAGTCAAACATTTTGTATAAAGAGATTAAAGCTGCAGTAATCAATTTTTTCAAATGAACAGTTTAGTAAAGGATTTTGTAATCTGATAGGGGTGCTCTACTCATAGTAATAAACAGAGGGTTGTCCCTCAACTCTGCAGTTCCCTTCAGCCTCAGTTGCGCTTTTCAGCCTTTTGTAGCTCATTGTTTTGGTTTCCTGCCCTGATAACTCTGCTCTCGCCATCTCGTCTCCAGCTGCAACTGTGTGCAGACAGCTGTTAGGAGTGACTGTCTACTACCTGCTCAACAGAAAACAACAGACAGACACAATCAGAGACCAGCTGGTGAACATACTATAACATGTTCACTATAAGAAGTTCATATGGTAACAATTACGGATTCCCCAATTGGTCATTATCATGTAAAAATACATGATTGCTAGATCGGAATCAATGCTTCTGGTCACTGATCAAACCTTAAAACTGATCACGTGTGGTTAGTACTATGGTGTCTGCACTGTGTGCTGTGTAGTGTAGTCTTGCCTCCAACCTTGTTCAATGTGCTGGCGAGCAACATGCCACCAAAACAAAACAGCATGTCAGCCATGTGGAACTTTTACAAAGTGTGTGAGACTGAGAGAAGGTACGACATCTGCAATGCTCCTTGGGAGTTTTTTGTACTGCTCTGTTGAACAAAGTAAAAGCATGTTGTTGACTGAATAAAGATGACTTCTGGTGGTCCTTTTATCAGGTTACGCTCCTACCTGTTGGAGGTCCCAGTACACTACAAAGTTAAGCAGGCTGACCAACCGTGAAACCAGCTGCTTTAACAAAACAAAAATGATCATCGGCCCTGGATCGGCCGATCTCACTCATAGGTGATTGGTATTGGCACCAAAAAAATGTGATCGGGGCATCCCTAGTAACAATATGTCAGTTGTTTTTCCACATTGACCTCAAGTGACAAAAAAACCCATTAATGCAGCTTGAGTATAACTGGTCATATAGAGCGTTAAAAATCCAGTCTCTTCCTCCATGAGAAGGACTGGCAGTCATGGTTTAGACCTGTGTGTGTGCCTTAGAACAAACAAGTTAACCAGCACTTGCAGAGGGCCAGGGCAGTGACTGCCTGATGCTTTCTTCCTCTTGAAAGTGAGTGACTATTGGACCACAGTGACAACTGCTACTAAATGACACTGAGCAGCTGTGTAGTGTGAGAGGGGGAGTGAGACACATTCACTCACACTTGGGCTGTGTGGCGGTAATGTGATGTTTAACTGTCTGGATTTTGTGTGTGTGAGAGTGTGTGAGTGTGAGGGAGGGTGTGGGTGTGTGGGGTGAGCAGTTGCACAGTGAGGAGGGATTCATATTATTCATTTGTTCGTAGTTTAACTGGTCCATGTAAAGTGGAGATTGACACCGTATAAAGGTGTTATGGTACTGCTGTGGAAACTACTAGACTAACACTTAATGTCAGACTGGCACTGAGTGAGTGGGATTTGTGGAACAGGAAATATGGTTTTGTTGTCTATGGTGCAGCCTCTCTTCTCTGTCTGTCTCTGCTCTGCCCTCTGTGTGGTAGCAGGAAGTTCCCAAGGCTTGGGAGTAGTGACGTTTTTTCACATGACCAACCAGCATAGGGTGGAGGCGGTGAGTCCCACATCCCACAGTTGTATCCGTCAGTCTCACCGAGAAGTTGGCCGAGAGTAACTAAAGAAAAAGCTCAGTGTAAATATGTGAACATCAGTGAGGACAGAAGTTACTATGATGATGGTGTCTTGATGTGCAATCACAAGTTCTCTGCACTTGATGGTTAGATATAATATTGGTAATGCTTTTGATGGTTCACTATAATGGAGATAAGTCTTTCCACTTTATCATGTTGCAGCTCTGATGATTTTTTTTTAAGGTGAACATTTGTAAATATGAATACTTTTGACAGTGTATTCAAGATGATACCACACTGCAGGACTAACCAGCAGCATCCATGACCATATTTATACATTACAACACTCCCTGGCATATTATTGTCTTAACCAGGGGCCCTACAGTGTGATCAGACATGGGAGTCTTGAAACGGAGAGATGGAAATGTATGCTTCATTACAATCCTTTGTCCCTATGATTATAGTAATTTTACATGTAGTGAAATATATACACAAGTGTGAGGCCACATTGGTCTGACCATACTGCACATACACTTTCTATAGTGGTGACCTGTCATATCTTATTATAGCCTTGTTAACACGACCATTGTACTGTGTATCACACAGTGTAAATACATTTAATTTGCTTACTATTAATACAACTTTAAGATCCACATACAGACACGTCATACAGATGAGATGGGTAGAAACATTAGCATTAAAGCAGCCAATCAAAACCAGCCCAATACCAAAGCTCAAAAATGCTTCTGCCACATGTCAGACCAAACCATAGCAGGGACCCCCACCAACTCCAAAAAAAAAAAAAAAAAAAGATTGTTAAAAAAATTACAATAATTATTTTAATATTATATATTATATATATATATAAGATGTATGTGTATGTATGTATGTACAAGTGCATCTGCGAAAGTATTCAACACCCCTTCACCTTTCCCCACATTTGTTTGTTTTGTTTTGTTACAGCCTTATTCCAAATGGATATTAATTCTTTTTTTTTTCTCATCAATACACACAAATACCCCATAATGACAAAGCGAAAAAAAGGTTTTTAGAAATTCTTGCAAATTTATTAAAAATAAAAAACTGAAAATATCGGCATGTACATAAGTATTCACACCCTTTGCTATGACACTCAAAAGTGAGCTTATGGCATCCTGTTTCCACTGATCATCCTTGAGAGTTTCTACAACTTAATTGGAGTCCACCTGTAGTAAATTCAATTGATTGGACATGATTTGGAAAGGCCACACACCTGTCTATGTAAGGTCCCACTGTTGACAGTGTAGTTCAGAGCAGAAAACCAAGCCATTGAAGTCAAAGAATTGTCTGTAGACTTTCTGAGACAGGATTGTATCGAGGCACAGGATCTGGGGAGGGGTACAAAAAAAATTCTGCCGCATTGATGGTCCCGAAGAGCACAGTGGTCTCCATCCATTCGTAAATGAAAGAAGTTTGGAACCACCAATGGACTCTTCCCTAGAGCTGGCTGCCCAGCAAAAACTGAGCAATAGGTGGGATGAAGGGCCTTGGTCAGGGAGGTGACCAAGAACCCGATGGTCACTCTGACAGAGCTCCAGCGTTCCTCTGTGGAGATGGGAGAACTTCCAGAAGGACAACCTTCTCTGCAGAACTCCACCAATCAAGCCTTTTTCGTAGAGTGGCCAGACGGAAGCCTCTACTCAGTAAAAGGCACATGACAGCCCGCTTGGAGTTTGCCAGAAGGCACCTGGAGGACTATCAGACCATGAGAAACAAGATTCTGTGGTCTGATGAAACCAATATTGAACTCTTTGGCCTGAATGTCAAGCGTCAAGTCTGGAGGAAACCAGGCACCTCTCACCTCTGGCTAATACCATCTCTACGTTGAAGCATGGTGGTGGCAGCATCATGCTGTGGGGATGTTTTTCAGCGGCAGGAACTGGGAGACAGGATCGAGGGAAAGATGAACGGAGCAAAGTACAGAGAGATCCTTGATGAAAACCTGCTCCAGAGCGCTCAGGACCTCAGACTGGGGCGAAGGTTTACCTTCCAACAGGACAACGACCCTAAGCACACAGCCAAGACAACGAAGGCGTGGCTTCGGGACAAGTCTGTGAATGTCCTTGAGTGGCCCGGCCAGAACCCAGACTTGGACCTGATTGAACATCTCTGGAAAGACCTGAAAATAGCTGTGCAGCGACGCTCCCCATCTAACCTGACAGAGCTTGAGAGGATCTGCAGAGAAGAATGGGAGAAATGCCCCAAATACAGGTGTGCCAAGCTTGTAGCTTCATACCCAAGAAGACTTGAGGCTGTAATCACTGCCAAAGGTGCCTCAACAAAGTACTGAGTAAAGGGTGCGAATACTTATGTACATGTGATATTTCAGTTTTTTATTTTTAATAAATTTGCAAAAATTTCTAAAAAACCTTTTTCACTTTGTCATTATGGGGTATTGTGTGTAGATTGATGAGAAAAAAAAGGAATTTAATCCATTTTGGAATAAGACTGTAACAAAACAAAATGTGGGGAAAAGTGAAGGGGTGTGAATACTTTCTGGATGCACTGTATATGTGTACTTTTTTCATTTGAGCTCATTGTGACAGTCTCTGCTGAGTTTTGCTGTCATATACAGTGAAGTTTCCCTCCTTTCCTCCTTCCTGCTGCATGTGTTGTAATCTACCAAGTTAGACCACACGTGTTTAGTGTGCCAGCATTAAAAGCAACAGTTTTTTCACCCAGGCTCTAAAATGGCCTTGTGTAATTAGTATATATTAGGGATGGACACTTGGAAGAAATTTCCTTGATCAATCATCGGGAAAATTAATGATCAATTATCGATTCATCATTAATTTTTTAGGTTAAAAAATGCCTATGAAAGAAAATACTAAAGAAAGTGTCTTTTTCCTCAATGAAATCTTTATTCTAAGAAGAAATTGTAGTCCAACAACAATCCTCTGAAATACGGCAGTTAAAGTTTAACTGTTTAACTATTAAACAGAACAAAAAAGATATGTGGCGCTCCCAATGGCAGCGGAGCCCGAGGCTCTGAGCCAAACCTCTTTACAAATAACAAGCCAAAGCTACGGCGTTTATACATGTCATTGCAATGTTAACAATGAGCTTTGAAATGTTCCACACCAAACTAAAGATCCTCTATACAGAAGATACTGCATTACAGGCAGTGCCAATGGTATGACACCGGACACAGTTCTGGTCTCCTAAGTGGGCGTTGTCCCCCAACCCCTCCCTCAAGCCAAGGCAGCTGGCATGAAATGTGACAGTCGCTAATATTAAAATCTACCCTGTCTAGACTTACCTCTCTGCAGCCTTTGGGAAAGAAAAGACAGATCTGTTTTTCTTGTTATTACAGCCTTTTGCTGCACAAAGCTCAGGCATTTTTAACATGAACTGATGGATTACTTGTCCCTGCCAAAAGAATACAACAATAGACGATACAACATGGACAAATCTGTGCCTTTTTTGCCGCTGGTTTTTATCTGCTAACGACATCTGATCAGCCCAGTACAAAGTCATGTCAATTTAATAGGCTAATAATCTGATTTATCAATTGTTAAGCAATGTTTTATTTAAATCTTAAAGTTTAATCCATAGTTTGACGTATAAGTAAGTAAATCCAAAAATAACTCTGGTCCATCTAAACACCTGGTTATCAGCTGACAAACGATGTCGGCAGTTGAGACAGAGGCAGGTCTCCAATAAATTAATTTTGTCCTGATCTGTTTGTCTGAAAAATGTCATTTTGATGTCAGAGTGTTCTGATGACGTGTGGCTTGTGAAAACTGGGTCCAGTATTTATTTTGGTGACTATGGAGCGAAATTATCTGTGATAATCTGTGATCTTGTTCACTTCGCCCACTGGAATGAATACACTCAGACCTGCTGCTGGTCTCCTAAAGGGGTGGGGAGGTGGAGAAACCCACGAGACACAGATGCAGGAAATATAATATATAAATAAAACGGAAATGAAGCATCTCAGTTTCTCTACTGTCTCTGACCAAACTTCGCCTTGCTGTCATGTTTACCTGCGATGCGTACGGGAACCCGCGTATTCATTTTTCTGTGTTGAAAATTTAAATTGCTGGTTGCTGCCACTTAGTGAAATTCATTGCATTGCTTCAAGACACACTAAACAGCACAACCTCGTTGATACACACGTTAGATCGATCAGATTCCACGTGATTGACAAAATTCTTAACCATCAATTATCAATCATCGATTAATTATGCCCACCCCTAGTATATATATGGTATATGATCATCAATAGATTTTATTCATGATGAATCAGTCTATGTGGTGCAGTACCAACAAAAAGCTCTGGTACTCCCCAGCCACACATTATATCTACTGTTTAATGCCCATTCTGTTGCCCATACTTTCCCTTCATTGTCTTTGACAAACAGACAAAAGTAATTTAATTCAAATGTTATTTCTGGAAATGTTTTTAAGAAACTGAGGTAAAGGACACGTTCTGTCTGTTTGTCAATCTCCTCCTCTCTTAACTCAACAACAAGCAGTGCTTCGGTTATATACATGAAATTGTGGCAGGGCAAATTCAATTGAATATTAATTTAATACTATGAATAATACATTACTACATTAATGGCAAAACAAGTCAAATATTGTCTTGACATTTGCAAAGACGAGCAATCAGTGATCGTTCTGTTGATAATCGATCACAGGCATGAAGTTCTGGTGACAGTAAGTCAGAGTATGAGATGCTGTCAGTAATAATGGTGTGTCTTCTTTCAGCCCAGTTGTCCATCCAGCACCATGGGAAAGAAGAGTCGAGTGAAGACTCAGAAGTCGGGCTCAGGGGCCAGCGCTGTGGTTTCCCCCAAAGAAATGATGAACCTCATCTCTGAACTGCTGCAGAGTACGTTTACACAGCCGCTTCACCTTCACTTCGTCTTCACGTCTTTACCTGAGGACAGACCTTTTCACTCACTGCTCACAGAGACAGCTAGATACTAACTCACATGTTTGTTTTAAAGGTGTGTTTGGACCTAGCAGTTCTGAAGCACATTCCTCTTTGCTCCTTACAAAGCAAACTGAAAAAAACACATTTTCTATAGGAGATTTTTTTATTGCATAATTTCATAAGGCTTCAATTCTACCTCAATTTAGTTCAGTTCACTTGTTTATGTGTGTGTGTGTGTGTGTGTGTATATATTAGGGCTGCATGATATGCAAAAACAATTATATATTGACATATTGCGATTACGATATACAATTTCAGTTGGAATGATGGTTTTTCATTTCATTTTCACAAAAAAAAAATTAAACATGATGATGTGATTTTTGTTGGGTCTTGTACCAAACACACATGTTCCTTTAAGTCTGGAGGACATGATTTGTAGTTAGTGGTGCCAACAATGTGCAGCAATGCCATGACACATTTTACCTTTATCAAAAAAATTGCAGCTCCTGCGATTTGGATATTGCACTTGGCCATGTTGTGATTTCGATTGTACATGCATTGCCAAATCATACATAATTTCAAGGCTCTTCAAAGAGTCAGGTCCAGACCTTACAATATTATAGACAGAAACCCAACAGATCCAGACTCCACGACCAGGAACAGCTATATATATACTGTTGTATTCAAGCACTGTCGTACTAGTTGTTATAATGGTAATAATATTAACAACAGTAATGATAGCAGCACCAATTAAAAATAATACTGATAATGTTACCCAGTTCATTTTTAGGGAAAATGGAAGCAAAATAGACCCAGATGTGATTAATGCAATGTTATTTGTTAAAGAGGAGATAAATAATACTGATGCAAACAATGAATAAGGGAAACTAAAAAAGGAAACAGGGAAGCTGAGGTTGAAACAAGTAATAACATGAATAATAATGGTGACAGATCTGGATCCTGCAGCTCTGGAGTCAGAGAGACCTGTAGAATGAGAGCAGAGAGAGAGAAAACACTGAGTTAATGACATGCAGTCGGATGATAGAAATGATGGAGAGAAGAAGTGCTCGTGAATCATGGGATTTCCCCAAGCAGCATAAGATAAGTTATTACACATAACTCGGGATGGTTCAGGGCTCTTTAGTTACGTTACATGTGATATTAAAAAGATCTTTAGACGTCTCAAATGTAATTTAAAGTGAATCATCAGATAGAGAATGAAAGAGAATCTCTTTGTGATTTGCTGTATCTTCAGGTTGATGGTCATGGTTCAGGTATGTTTGGCTGCATGGGTCAGCTGAAGTGATGCAGTTGCAGTTTTAATGGTTGACCTTTGTTTTCCCAGAGTGCAGCAGTACAGCACCCTCTGCTGGTAAAGAGTGGGAAGAGTACATCCAGATCAGAGGCTTAGTGGAAAAGATCCGCAAGAAACAGAAAGGTGAGGATATGCACACACACAATGTTTATATTTCTGTTTTTTTAAAGTAATGAAACTGTTGATGTTGAAGAAATATGAAGTGAACATAAGGTATTAGTTTTGGGGGAGGGTTAGGTTGTGACCAGGGGACATCCAGAACATAAAGAAGTGAATTTATTGTTGTGTGTGTGTGTGTGTGTGTGTGTGTGTGTGTGTTTGTGGTGCGCACTCAGGTCTGTCAGTAGTGTTTGAGGGCAGCAGAGAGGACTATTTCTCAGACCTGATGTCCTGGGCTCAGGAAAGCGGGGCTTCCTGTGACGGCTTCACTGTGACCGACTTTGGTACGGAGGGCTACGGTCTGCGGGCCACCAGAGACATCAAGGTGATTACAACACAGTGCTGACACCTTTTGTTTATTCTTTTTTTTGTGCCTTTAATGGACAGGACAGTAGAGAGACAGGAATTGGGGAGGCAGAGAGAGGGGGAATGACATGCAGGAAAGGGCCGTCCGAAGCGGGAGTCGAACCAGCTGCAGTGAGGACTGTAGCCTCTATATATGGGGCGCCTGCGTAACCCACTGCGCTACGTGACGCCCCTTTTGTTTATTCTTGATGTTCCAAAGCGCTTTTCAAAGGACCAGTGTACTGATATTCAATACTTCAATACTACTACACTGTTGGCTGTAAATGATTTTAGGTTGATCCACGGCAAAATCAGAGTGAAACAATTGCTACGGGAGCGAAGAGTGCCGTTCATTTACTTCCCATCCCTACACTGTACATTAAGAAGCTGATCTTTGACTTTTCTCAATGCTGTGTGTTTGTGTGTTTGTGTGTGTGTGTGTGTGTGTGTGTGTGTGTGTGTGTGTGTGTGTGCGTGCGCGTTTGCAGGCAGAGGAACTATTCCTGTGGATTCCCAGGAAGATGCTGATGACAGTGGAGTCGGCCCAGTACTCTGTGCTGGGTGAGAACTTCAGTTCATAAAAGTGTTTGTGAGGAAACTGCCAATCTGAATCAGAAAAAAAGAAAACACCAAACAGAGTTCCATATTCTGTTGGTTTTTGTAGTAAAAAGAAGTAAATACAACTCCTATTTTTATCTATTTTTTGAAGTTGTTGAAATAAAAAGTAACAGATAGATAGATAGATAGATAGATACTTCATTCATCCCCTAAGGGAAATTCATGAGCATCAACGTTTGAAGAAAGGCGTCCACTATACTGCATTTTTCTTTTAAAACGCATCTCCTTTTGCCTCCGGTCCACTCTACTCAACCTCTGAAAACCGAGACTTTTGGTAACTCTGCTGGACCTGTTTTATTTTGAAAACTCTGGGGTTGTGTTGTAGCCTGGACAGACAGAAACTAAGACCTTTGGAAACGATGATGTAGACACCCACCTCTCTCCCTGATTAGCTCTCATCAGCCTCGACTGCCAGCTGTGAATACAACATGATAATGAATTACAGTGTTACTGACCTTGTTGTCTTTGCCAGCAGCTGTTGTTCACTTACAGTCTGTATATTAATGCAACTGTCTTTGTTGAGTATTTTGTGTGACTAATCTACTGCAGATTAGACAGTCTGCTTCCTGTTTACACTAGCTTGCACATGCTCAGTGTATGTGAAAGGTCATGCGATAGGTGTTTTCAGGTGTGTTAGTCTGGACGGAGAGCGTTTTCATTTGAAAAAGCTGTTTTAAAATGAAAATGTAATGGTGTGGACGTAGCCTCATTTTAATGTCTGCTTGCTGCAGACATGCAGTTTGCATCAAAATGTGTAATTTGTCCAGGTGTTGTGCATACAACTGTAACCATGGTTTATATAAATCTTCCAGTGTGACGCAGGTCCTCATTACATGTTGAAATATACTGCAGCAAGTTTATTTACAATAGCACTAACACAAGATTTTCAGTCTGACTGTGACCTCTGTGTCTCAGGTCCTCTGTACAGCCAGGACCGGATCCTGCAGGCCATGGGCAACGTGACGCTGGCCCTCCACCTGCTGTGCGAGCGAGCCGACCCTGCTTCATCCTGGCTGCCGTACATCCGCAGTCTTCCTCAGGAGTATGACACGCCGCTGTACTACCAGCAGGACGAGGTACAGCAGCTGCTGGGCACACAGGCAGTGCAGGACGTCCTGAGCCAGTATAAGAACACTGCACGCCAGTACGCATACTTCTACAAGCTGGTACAGGTAGGCAGATACACTCATTACGCACGCAGGCACGCATGCACACACACACACACACACACACACACACACACACACACACACACACACACACACACAAAGTTGAAGATGACTGCAGTTGCTGGTTGGTTACTTTATTTATTGATTTCTACATTCAATATGAAATAAGGTCATAAATTATGAGGCAGTGGTATCATTTAAACAACATATGCTACATCAAATCAATTTTGTGCCTCCTGGACCAGCTACAACAAAGTATGAACACTGTTTTTATGTTAAAGGCCATTGTCCACCACACAGCTGTTTACACTTCATTTGCCTAATTGAGTTGTGAAGTGTGTGATGGCTAGAGATGAAACATTTACCTGTTTTGCACTTTATCATGGTAGAAGTGCCAGGCGGTTAGTATTACAGTTTTACCGATTACCGTTGTTAATTACTGTGGTTAATTTCACTCAGGTTGGGTTCTATACAGCATCAACCAGTAACAGTCTCCCAGATGCATGCGCAGTGAGCAACCTGGGTTCGTTTGTGTCAGTCAAAACATGGCGTGAGGCTTAAAGTTGGTGGGTATAAGTGGGTTTTTTAAAAACGAGTAAGCCCGCTAAAAAGGCGATTGAATCGTTTTACACTGCCAATGTCACATGACCACAGGGCGCACAGACAGATACAGGAGAGAAACAGTGAGCTGTAGCTGCTGAGCCTCTATGGGAGACGCTCCAGTCAGTGATAGCCCTGGTGTTGCTGGTTTAACACCACCCTGCTGGACAGGTGACAGGTCTGTTTACATTGTCTGCTCTGAAAGACGTTACAGAATGGGAAAAAAAAATGCTATTCCCTTTTTTCTCCAGAGTGGGCATGCAGCAGGCAAATCCACTATATACTGCTAATGGTCCTCTATGACACAGATGTGTTGAACATTTTCAGCGTATTTTACCAATACCGTGATAATACTGATAACCGTGATCGTTTGGATCACTATAATCATGATACTAAATTTGATGGCTATTGGATATGGAAACACAGGGCTCTGCCTGATGATGTAACAATCCTATAGGCTTTTGCTGTGGTCGGCACTATTAATCATTTACACTTACAGTTTATGAGAAATCATGTTTTGTCTGTAATCTTTGGGGGGCAGTTCTAAATATTACATTACCCATGAGCCTTGGCTGCTCCGGCCATGGAGCAGAGGCCAGTCATAGCAGCAGTGAATTCAAATGGTTCGTCAGTACAATTGACAACAAAACGTGTCACCATGGTGACTGAATTCACCCAGAGCTGACCCAGAATTTAACTCATTTAAGCTGCAGACTTTAGCTTCCACTTGCCGTTAGGGAAACACCTAACAGAAATTTAAGCTTGGTGATTGGATGTTTCTGGGAGCTGTAGTTAACATCTCTTAATAGAAATTGTTTCCACTGTGATATTTGCTACTTGTGCTTGAATAAAGCTAAAAAGGTTGTGTATCCAATTATAGAATCAAGACTTTGAACCAAGACCTTTTGCTCTTTGACCTATTTTCGCCTTGTTTAATTGAATTAATTAAAACCAGCTGGATCTCAGAACTTGCTGTAGTGTCCCTGCTGGTTTAGGAGATGTGAGTGTATCTTGGCTACGTGATTACACAACCAACACAGCTGCTGATGGCAACTTGTTACCACTCACTGAAACCATGCTAAATGTTTTTACAAAAATCAGTGACCATCACATTTGTCAGTTTTTCTACCTGAGAACCATAAGGAACCATAGGAAGGAATCCCCAGTAATCGGTTACTACTACCATTACTAGAGTTTAATTTATTTATTATGCTCAAAAAGATTTGAAAAGTGTGTGCTGTAATTTAAGATAACTGATAAGGAAAGTGGAATATGAGTATATTGCTAACTAACCAGCTAACTAATCTTATTCCAGTTGTTGGCACCATATACAAAGACGTAGCATTGGTCGCTTCAGCCCATTGCTGTGATACGTCAGACTGCCCTGTAAACAAATAGGAATAAACTGAGGAGCTGTGGATAAAAAGCTCTGTAACGTTTATATTTCTCAACTGATTTCAGTGAGTCGTTTTTGTGTTGAAGGTTTTATGATCTATGTGGAGTAAAAGTAAATGTTTGAGCTACCTTTACTTATAATTGTGATATTTTAGGCTGTAATCACTGTTTTCTATAAAGAGGAGTGTGGATCAATGTTTACATGAACTGAATTACTGACGTGGTGGAAAATAATTCATTGTCGTAAGGTATTGTTAAAACTAGTGTGTAAAATAAACAATGAATAAATAAATAATGAATGAATGAAGTAAGATAGTGAGCGCCTGTGGCAGTCAGTCTGCTTTCTATATTTTTAGAAGTGAAAGGTTGAGATAGAACTTTATTGATCCTAACATATAATATATAAGTGAAATGTAGTAGTACAACAATATAATACAGCAGTATATCATATATCCCTAATACAATGAAGTGTAACAAGAATATATCATAGTATTATAGTAGCAGCATAATATTTGATTAGTAATAGTAAATAGTATATGTAGTATAAATAGTAGTTAAATTTAGTGAATACAGTAACGTGAGTTTTAACAATTTAACATTTACTCAACCCCCCCCATCACCAAATCATTAGTCAAATGAGTTTGTTTACATCAGACATGTCGTAGGTGCAGTGACTCTTCTGATAACAGATCAGATATAAACTAAACTTTTCCAACAAACAGGAAATATGTTGCCATGGATACAGTGATCTAAGCTGTGGGCTTCAATTTAAGCCCCGTTTTTTTAGACCATGTTTGTTTATATTTTAGATAATGAAGTGTAGTGAATTATATTTTTGAAGTTTCTGTTTGTTATGTAGCGTTATGACAACTATCACTATATCACTGACTCAGGAGCTTCTGTTTTCTCTGATTTCTAATCAGATTTATGGAGGTTTATTTGCAGTGGTGTCATCAAAACTGTGTCTTCAGGTCTGATCGTATTCATCTGATTTTGTTTGGACATCAGTTTGAGTGTTTTGATACCAGGGGTGGACAGTAACAAAGTACATTTATTTGAATACTGTACTTAAGTATATTTTCCGGTATCTGTACTTTACTTGAGTACTATATTATTTTAGAAACTTCTGACCTCGACTCCTCTACACAAATATTGTACTTTTGAACATTTCTATGAAGTTTTCTTACTTTGAAGCAGAGCTTTTAGTCACTTAATGAATTTTATTTTATTTTGAAAATGTGACAGACTTTACATGTTCATCCCAGGAGAAAAAAAACAATCACAGCCAAATCCTCCACTGTCAGCCATGTTTGAACCTGTCAGTGTCCTAACGATGGCGACGTTATATAAAGATGAGGCAGAGGATGCTTCACCAGAGACCATGGTCTGATCTGAAGTCTGTGTTTGAAGGTTTAGAAATAAAGAAGGATTATTTTAGTGAGATTCCGACCAAACTTCATCACTGCCTAAAAAAATAAAAATAAAAAAATAAGTAAAAACAAAACGACAATGGCTCCTTTTGTTGATTCAGTTGTGTTTTTAGGTCCATGTCTAAAGTCTTTGTATCTACAGGTTCGACAGTCAGTTCATTCAGGTTGTTTCAGAGTCATTTGGTTCTGTAAATGTGAAAATGTGTTGAAATAAAAAATACTTTAGTATGTTTTCAAAAGTAAAAAATTTGACTGAACAACTTTCACTTGTATTTGAGTCATATTTGACCAGGAGGGTTTGTACTGTGACTCAAGTAAAGAAGTTGTTTCCACCTCGGGTCTTGTTCCAGAAGTCCTCACAGCTTGTTTTAAGGCTGTGTACATTTCTCTGTGGACTGAGCGCTTTGTTGGTTTCACTTCTACACTATGGGAACTTTAAACATAACTTGATATATGACAGTGATTTCTAAACCAAGATTGGCAGTTTGGGAAAAGACTTAGATTGAACTTTGAAAATGACTTTTTCAGTCCTGTGTTAATGTGGAAACAACTGGAATAAGACACAGAGATGGTGATTATGGTTTGTGGTGAAATGTTGGTTTAACAGGCCCAGACAATAGATAATGGGTTAGTAATCTGAAAATGTGCTGTTGTCCCATTATTATTGTGAATCATGGTGAAATGGTCAGACCTCAGCACAGACCAGTGCAGTTTCAGTGGACTCCACCAGGTGGAAGTGTTGTGTTTTAAATGGTTTAATGTCAGTGAGCTTGAAGAAGTCCAGTGCTGAAGGAGCTTTACTCAAGGAGCCATTACTATTGGTTTCCATGCTTTAATGCTGTCCATTTGATTCATGTTGACAATACAATGAAGACTCACATAGTTACATGGTCTGAATGGTCTAGCTTTCTTAGTACTGTGTGTCTGAAGGGATGTCCCATACTGATATCCCATGATGCAGTCTTTGGTGTATTATGTTCAAATTACTACTGGCCAATCAGATAGCAATAGTGTGTCATTCAAGGGTTAATAATGTTTATATGTGACCTGGCTGACCTCTTCAGAGTATTTGCCTGAATTACAAAAACGTCAAAAATAGAAAAATAAGAGGAAGAACTTTGTCCCTGGGGATATTGTTCTCAGTACTACCACTCTTCGCAGGCCTATCTGAAAGTTGTGTCTGCTACTGGAGGCCCCTACATAAGACTGCTTCTCTTTAATGAGATTCTGTGAAGATGGAGGGTTTTTGTTAAATTTTTGGATTTAGATTTCAAATGAGTTTTTTGGCTTTTTGAATGGACTTTTGAATTTTTTTGGCTCTGTTTTATGTTGAAAGTTGTAATTGTTTTGTTTGCCTACAAGAACAATTTGGGGCCAGCATGTAGGAGCCAAAGTTTTTATGTCAAGGTATTGCAGATATTATGTTGCCATAGGATGTTTAATTAGGGCCCGAGCATCGACTGGTGTGACGACCCTCTTGAAATTGCTCCGTTTATTATTATTCCTGAGTGAAAATCTTTATCATGCTCATTAACTCATGAAACTTGGACATGCGTCAGGCCTGGTGAAAATTGACAT